TGAGGGCTCCAGTGGCTTCTCCGGCCGGCGCTTCACTGCGGGTGCTTCGAGTTCATTTGCATCTTCGCCGCTGGTTATCGGGAAATCTGGTCTTGCTGCAGCCGATGCGGGCCGTGCATTGTTGCCAATGCCCGAAGCTGATGCTATGTTCTGGGAGGGAAAGTTGGAGAAGCGTGAAGTAGACTTGTCTGGTTCGTCTGCTACTTTTTAGTTTCAGATCTTGTAGAGAGACATGTGATTGGTATTTTGGTTTACGCCTTCAGTGTTTGCTCAGCATTTTGCTAATCTTACAGAGGTCGAGATGATGAAAGAGAGATTCGCTAAACTCTTACTGGGGGAGGATATGTCCGGCGGAGGGAAAGGAGTTTGCACCGCGCTGGCGATCTCGAACGCCATTACGAATTTATCCGGTGAGATGAACTTTTTAATAAGCACCTTTTAAGCTCTTGCATCTAGGTTTTAATTGTGGAGAAACTTCCTCAGCTACTGTGTTCGGGGAACTGTGGAGGTTGGAGCCGCTGGCCCCACAGAAGAAAGCAGTGTGGATAAGGGAAATGGAATGGTTGCTATGCGTGAGTGATTCAATCGTAGAGCTCATCCCATCTCTGCAAGAGTTTCCAGGTGGCGGGACATTTGAAGTGATGGCAGCGCGTCCAAGACCTGATCTCTACATGAACCTTCCTGCGCTGAAAAAGCTAGATTCCATGCTCCTAGGGATGCTGGATGGGTTCCGGAATACTGAATTCTGGTATGTTGATAGAGGGATAATGGTTGCTGATGCTATTGAAGAAGGTGACGAGGGCTACCCTTCTTTTGGGAGGCCATCACTGAGACAGGAAGAGAAATGGTGGCTTCCATGCCCACGAGTTCCTCCAAATGGTCTGTCTGAAGAGACCAGGAAGAAGCTGCAGCAGTGCAGAGATTGTGCAAACCAGATACTGAAGGCAGCCATGGCGATCAACAGTGGGGTGCTTGCAGAGATTGAGATTCCTGAAGCCTACTTTGAAACTCTTCCTAAGGTATATCAATAATCATTGAATTGCTGAACAGGTTTAATCTGAAGTTTTTTTAAATCTGAAATGGATTCTCATAAATTTAGGAATTTGATTTTGAAAATCTATCAATGACTCATATTTCTGGCAACTTTGACTGTATAATCTAGCCTGAAATGTTGTAGTATGCCTGAAGCAAGTTTAAATAATTATACTTATATCATTAGATTGTTGGCAGTTTATTTCTATTGTGTGGCTTTAGACAATGATAAGCTGCTTCTGTAGTTCATTTGTAGTATGCTCTGGAATGGGCCAAACTATACATGCATTGAAATGGCATGAACACTACATATTTTTCCTAATTTTTGTTAGGGGCATTTTCATACAAACTGCACAATTCCTATTTATATTTACATATATAATATCTAAACTTTCATATTTACATACATAAGGCTCAAATCTTCAACATCACATCAAAAAAATATCATTATCACTAACTTTTTAAAAGTGAAAAATACCTTTTCATTCTTGGATTTTTAATACAAAGGTTTTATAAAAGTAAATATCAAATTTGGTATGCATGTAAATATCATACTTATAATGAGATCGTGCCAAAGGCTTGCTTCCCTACTTGATGAATTGGATTCCAGCCCTAAATGATTCAAAGTAGAATCGACATATGAAAGAAAACATTAAATTTTACGTCTTCTTAAGTTAGACCCGCCATTTGAGCCCATCCATATTGATCTGTTATCTGAGTCCGCTAGTTGGAAGTTAGGCACAAATTGTCAATTATATTCTAGACTCACTCATCCTCAAAAAATGATATTGATTTCATACTGCCTTGTCTTCCCATTCATAGATGTTATTTAGAGGCTATCAAACATGCATGGTTGCGGGAGGCAATGGTATAAAAACTTTAAGTTTTCAAGGACAAATTTTCATGGGTTGTTCATTCCTTCAAGGTTAAAGCTATTTGTTGCAAATGGGCCTACTTGATCAAACATCACTATGACAATACTCTGGATCATCGTAAGACATTGTACTGGGTAAATAAATAAGAATGTGAGATTGACTGTAAGAAATTTTTTGCCTCTACCAGTAAAGTAAGCACGGTATGAATGATTAAATCTAAGCTGCTTTATAAGATGACCAATCAAGCAAATGGCCATTTAAGATGTGTGTTTTTTTTTTTAAATACAGTGATGAGAAGGAAGATATCTATTTGTTTCCCGCCATGGTATTTTGTCTCTCTTTTCACATATATGTAAATTGAAGTGCTCTCTATATGGATTTAAATAGGCTCCTTCGACTTGGTTTGACAAATCCTTGTCAAATTAGTTCACGGCTTCCTTAAAGAAAAGCTAATAAGACTAATTTTTCTTTTTACATGCCATTGGGTGGTACAAATCCTTTTCCATATTATGTTTTTGACATTGTTATACTTGGGATTAATTTGATACTGGTTGTTCGTTTGCAACGATATTTTCAATAGGGACGTCAATTCAGATTTGCGGGTTGGGTTCAGGTATGACCCGAAAATAACCCAACCCAAATCGTGTCAATCCAACCCGACTTGAATAATAAATGGGTCGACTTCTCCAAGCCTGGCTCAAAAAATATTTGGGTCAACCCTGATCTAGATTTTTCGAGTCGTGTTGGCGTGTTGGGTTAATTTTTGACACATAGGGATGCAATTCGGACTAGAGGCTCGTATTTGGATCCAACCTTAAAATGATCTTACTTGAATCCGGTTAACCCGAACTCGACTTAGATAATAAATGGGTCAAATTCTCTGACCCAAACCTAAATTGAAAAATATTTGGGTACTCGGATTTTTTGAGTCGAGTTTGAGTCGTGTTTGCGTGTCATGTCAATTTTGGTACCCTTAATTTTCAAGCCATATTTTTTAGAATTCATGTTGCTTTTATTTATTAGTTTTGAGGATGCATTCTAATCACTATGTTTTTTTTTTGGATGAAATATACACATAGGGTTTTGATCAATTAAAAATCAAAACCACTTTGCGGAATAAGATCACAACAATTCAAGAAATTTGGAAAAAAATTTCGAAAATAATCACAGGAAAAAAACACCAAGATTTCACCATCAAGAAATTCCACTATGAATGAGAGAAAATACAGAGATACACTCAGATCAACTCTCTGCAAATATAAAAACTTACAAAACTTTGCTCCAACCATTTCTCAATCTATAAGTGAAAGCCCTCGTTGAAATTATCATCATCGACCTTCTTTTCTTCTTCATGAGAAACCTGTCTAGAATGCCACTTGCGAGATTGCAATATATCATCTCTCAAATCGAAGGCTTAAGAACCAAACCAAATCCTTTGCTTGGTGGCATGAGTAGCGGCATAAATATTTATTAGCTCAAGAAGATTCACACTACTAAAGGCCCTTGCGGCGTGGCTATGTCGATTGTGGCATGATTATGCTGCTCGACGTAGCTACGCTCATTTCGGCTATGCCAAGCCCACGTATAGGAGTGCTCCTTTGATGCGTTGGAATTCTGCCCTTTGGGTGCCAGTCTCCACACTCCAACAATATTCTCCTAA